TATATAATTATTTATATATTATTATTTTTTTTTTTTTACAGTCACAGGGCTAAGGTGTTTTTGGGGAACACTTTTAAAAAAGTTACTTTTAAAAGTAGTGTATCACTTAATTGCTTTACTTAAAAAGTAACATATTACATATATGGTCATTTTTAGCACTAAAAACGCAGCGTGATTTGTTGTAGTTTGTTGGGTTTGTTGTGCTTTTTAGCTTCAGCTAGACAGAAAGATCTCAAATATACAGTATGTTGAATATTTAATACCTCACCCAGCCCTTTTTTCCTCACACAGGACTGAGTTCATGTCATTCTCTGACCTCTGACCTCACTGGCCTCTAAATAAATCTCAGACAGAGACAAAATGACATTGACTGAGGAAAAGATAGAAAGAGTGACTCAGCAGGCCTATTTTTGAACTAGGGATTTAACAGTTCTTAAATTATAAATGTGCAAGGTGAGAATGAGAATGAGATATTAAACTCTTTTGTGCCAACTCTTGATCAGACTACACAGAAACTGGAGTTGAATTTGAACATGACCTGTAGTAATCTGAGCAGATAATCAGTGTAAGAGCTAATCATCTACTTTATGTTCAACACCCTCAGGGATTATGCCATCCTTACTGTAAGTCTGTGTAATAATAATCAGCTTATCTAATCATCTAATCACTTCAGAGCAGCATAAAGACAACTAGATCATTCTTTTCTGTGTTTGTAGGCACACAACCTGCTTTACTCCCATAATGTGACGGATTATGTACAATAAGACCAATGTGTATTAAAGGTGACATATCATGAAAATCTGACTTTTCCAGGTTTTAAGTGCTATAATCAGGTCCCCGGTGCATCTACCAACCAAGGAAACATGAAAAAGATTAACCCAGTAACTTTGTTTTGGTAAGCCTTTTTCTGCAAGCGTCTGAAAAAAACGAGCGCGTCTGATTTCACTCCCTCGGTGACGTGGCAAAGGGATCTCATTATCCCCCTTAATCCGTAAACTTCCACTCATGGCGCCATCATTTTGATTTCGCAAGCGACAGCAGTGCACCAGCTCTTAATGCCATGGCGAAAGTTTGAGCAAAACATGCTAACTGTTCTGTCTTTGGCTGCACAGACGAGCACAGAACATTATTTAGAGTCCCAGCCTCAGAGGAGACAAGAGAGCAGTGGATTTATTGATTTATTTACTGTATATTGCTGCTGCCACACAGATCTAAAATAAACATGCGATTTGTTTCCCAGCTGTTTACCTTCACAGACATAACCGACTGTTTTTATAACTCGTGTGTTTTTAACAAACTTGTGTGTGAATGGGAACTTAGTTTAGTACTCACATGCTGTCACAGCCGCTTTCTGTCCGTGTGCTTCGGATGTGTGTGCTCAGAAAACCGTATATCAGAAGTTTAAACTTCATGTGGTTTAAAGCACATGATTTCAGCGCGATAAACATGATAATCAGAACCAAAACAGATGTTTTTAGCAGGTCCGAGCTGTAATGACGCAACTCTATTCTGCAAAAGGGGGTGGGGAGCAGCAGCTCATTTGCATTTAAAGAGACAGACCCGAAAAACAGCGTGTTTCTGCTTCCACTCAAAATAGGCATTTTCAAAATGATATAATAAATGATCTGTGGAGTATTTTGAGCTGAAACTTCACAGACACATTCTGGGGACACCAGAGACTTATATTGCATATTGTAAAAAGGGGCATAATATGTCTCCTTTAAAGGAATAGTTTACCCAAAATGAAAATTTGCTTAAAATTGACTCACCTTTAGACCATTCAAGATGTCGATGTGTTTGTTTTTATAATCAGAACAGATTTGGAGAAATTTAGCGTTACATCACTAATGGATCACACCAATGGATCCTCTGCAGTGAATGGGTGCCGTCAGAATGAGAGTCCAAACAGCTGATAAAAACATTACAATAATCCATAAGTAATCCATACAACTCCAGTCCATCAATTAACATCTTGTGAAGGGAAAAGCTGCATGTTTGTAAAAACAAATACATCATTAAGGCATTTTAACTTTACACAGTCTCTTCTGGCAAAAATGCGAGTTGATAATCCATAACATTGCTTTCTCCAGTGAAAAAGTTCATTCCCTGTTATTCTCTCACACCAAAATATTTGTTTAGAACAGTTTTGGACTGTTTTCAATTGTAAATGGTGCTTGATCTTTGTATATTTTTTTCTCCTTATTCAGAAGATACTTTTTCACTGGAGAAAGCAAAATTATGGAGAGGGGAGGAAATTAAAAATGTATCTTTTTTTTTTTCTTCTTCACAATATGTTAATTAATGGACTGGAGTGGTGTGGATTACTTGAGGATTATTGGGATGTTTTTATCAGCTGTTTGGACTCTCATTCTGACGGCACCCATTCACTGCAGAGGATCCGCTGGTGAGAAAGTGATGTAATACTACATTTCTGTTCAAATCTGTTCAAATGATGAAACAAACTCATCTTCATCTTGGATGGCCTGAGGGTGAGTAAACTTTCAGAAAATGTTCATTTTGGGGTGAACTATTCCTTTAAAAAAGTGTTTTTTGAAGAACAAAAGACATATTTAAACATTTAAAATATTTATTTAATATTTAATAAGAGTTTATATTTAGAAAATGTTTACATCATTCTTAAATTTCTTAAACACATGCAAATGCATGTAATTTTAAAGTTAAATCTAAAACTATGAGCTCAGAATGAAATGAATAAAAGTTTTAAATCTGAATCTTGGAGTTAATGAATTATTTTGTGTCTGGGTCGTCCAGAGATGAAAGTCAGCTTGTAGGAAATGTGTCTGTCTGTGAGTCCATTTCTTATTCATTTATTCATCAGATCAAATGATTCAGTGATGATTTCCACATTTTCAAAGAACATGCTGTCATATTGTTTATTCCCTAGTAGACTGATATTGTTGTGGTGCGTTTTTTGGTTCAGGTTAATTTAGGGATGCTGGGATGAGTCTTTTTTTGCTCTTAGACCCTTTTACTTAAAGTGTTAAAGTTGCATTAAATACCCTTTTCCATAGTAAATAGTATGTTATTCAATTATAGTATTAAAATAATACATGTAATTTGCATATTTATCATTCATATTTCTCTCACATGATCTGTGAAACTACCATGGGTTTGAGTTGTCCTCATACAGCCCCTGCAGAAGTTTCTCAATGCATAAACTCATTTTATCGGAGCGGATGGTGTAGAAGGCTATAAGAAACACTGGAGTCAGTTACATAACAGCACCGCAGAGCTCTCCTGCATACTACAGTACGTACACATTGTACACGTCTATTATACTTCCACTCGCTTGTTCTCTCTGTAAATCTCACACGCTGCAATAGTCACGGCCTCGAGTCTCCCCACAGGGACCCAGAATGAGGTGCGGAAAGCCATGAAAGATGGTTACCTGACAGTATTGTTTTTGTGTTAGTGTTTTGGAAAACCAGACTCCAAACAGAAAGTGGCCAAAGGAGCTCTTAAGAGCTTAAAATGAAACACAATGAGCTCTAAATATGTTTCAGATAGCCTGTTGGTTCAGATTAGACATTTCAAGGTTTTCTGACTATTATGTTTTCTCAAGATCATGGTCTGGCCATTGTCCTCCACTGAGGTTTGTTTTTACAGTTGCTATTTCTAGTGCGCCAATTATGCTGCATTATCCTGTTACAAGAACAGAAATGCATGATAAAGAAAACATTATATCCTTTGCAAAATCAAGGTTTACCCCCAAGTTTTTGTCATAATTTGTTCACCGGCTGTTGTTCCAAGTCTTTGTGACTTTTTTTTACAAAATATTTTTGAAAAATGAGGTAGGACTGGGGCTATATTGAGCTTCAACATGACTGGGCTATATAGCTAAAATATATAAATAAATAAATATATATAGAGAGATGCAGTGGGCATCATTAAGATATATCTCTATATTTATGTACTTTGATCTTTGTGCACTGAACCAGCTTAAAAGCGTGCTTTTTATTCATTTATAGAAACCATAATTTTGGCTAAACAGCAATTGCATTCAAAAGTTTTCATGTAAGAAATAAAATACTCTGTATGCTCTGAATATTTTACCTATATTTTGGTTAAAATATTCAGGGCATATTTTTCAAATTTCAGTATATAGTTCAGTACTGTATATCAGTATACAGTAATAAACAGCAGTATTTACTTACATATATTTTAATTAAACATTTTATTGCAACAAAAAATGCCACACGGGAACTTAAGTAAACAATTTTAAACAATACTGCACACTATTCATATTCACATTTATTTCCTCTGCCATTTTGGCTACTGAAGTTTAAATCAAAGATGCAAATAAAGTGAGACTAGTCACTGGATATTGGTAGGGACATGTCCCTAGCATCCCTACTAAATTCTACACCCTTGTAACATTTTGATCATAATTCATAAAAAGCATGCATTTGTTTGTGTTTTGCTTTAGTATGTGGATGCGATCTGGCTCAGGGAGGATTCTTCATGAAGAATGGAGAATATCTGTGCACTCTGGACTACCAGCGCATCCACAGCACCCGCTGTAACATCTGTGGAGAGTTTGTGGAAGGGGAGGTGGTGACTGCGCTTGGCAAGACCTACCACCCAACATGTTTTGTGTGCACAATCTGCAAGTAAGAGCCTATGGACACAAACACACCATTCTTCAAGTAAGAGCCTATGGACACTCACACATACACACACACACACACCAATCTTCAAGTAAGAGCCTATGGACACTCAAGCAAAAACACACACACACACACACACACACCAATCTTCAAGTGAGAGCCTATGGACACACACACACACACACACACACACCATTCTTCAAGTAAGAGCCTATGGACACTCACACATACACACACACACACACCAATCTTCAAGTAAGAGCCTATGGACACACACACACAGGACATTATACAGTCATTGTCATTGTGGTTTATGGTAAGTCCAACACTGAGAGGAGTTTTAACAGGGATCGTATATTTTCTGACCTGCAGGAGACGATTTCCTGCTGGAGACAGAGTTACGTTCAATGGCAAGGACTGTCTGTGTCAGTACTGCTCAGAGCCCATGTCTCCAGGACCCACCAAAGATGTTGTGGGACCCAGCAGTGAGTGCAGGAACCGCACATCTAAACCTCTATATGAGTTAATGTCACATAACCGCTGAAGTTCAAATTGCCAGGGTCATATTTCAACTCAAAATCTAGATAAAATAACTAGTTTTATTCATGACAATTAAAAGCATTTCCAACCAGATTAATAAAAAGCCGTGTGAGACACTTTTTTTTAATGGATGGGTGCTTTTTATTTAACTTCTTTTTGGACTGATGCATGCAACACCTGCTGAGTAGCATTAAACAACTTGAAAAATCAAAGACAATTTTTAATATAACTCCGACTGGATTCGTCTGAAAGAAGAAAGTCACATACACCTAGGATGACTTGAGGGTGAGTCATTTATGGGCTAATTTTCATTTTTGGGTGAACTAACCCTTTAAGTAGAAATACTGTTACCGTAAATCACCATCACCAAAAATCAAAAGTAAAGTACATGAAATCATAAAATAAAATATCACAATGCAAAAAAGGCTCATTTTTATACAGAGTGTAACTCCTTATTTAATTCCTTATTTTATCTTTTTTTTTGTTTGTTTTTTTTAGTTTTATTTTATTTTATTTAGGCAAAATCTTACTCAATTTAAAACCAAAAGTGTCTAGCCAGAAGGGATAAAGAAGTTGTTTCCACATTTCATCATACTAAAATTTATCATTATTTAATTTTGATGCATAAACTTTATAAATCAGATTAATCACAACTTCCTTAAAGGGATAGTTCACCCAAAAATCTAAATTTTATGTTTATCTGCTTACCCCCAGGGCATCCAAGATGTAGGTGACTTTGTTTCTAACTGAACAGTATTTATATCGTTTTTTACCTCTGATTTTCACCACAATGTCTGAACTGTCCGAACTGTCCTGAGCGCGTTCGCATCTTCTTCTTCAGCCTGCGTGTGAGGCGCCTTCTTCTTCTTCTTGCTTTACGGCGGATCGCAGACTTATAAGTGCATTACCTCCACCTATCTATGGAGATATCTAACAGATAGAAATACTGTTCAGTTTCTTGCACAGACCGATCGTTTTGTGTCTTTACACATCAATGTATCGTCAC